CGCACGTTTTGTTTCTTTGAGCGATGAAATGCTTGGTGAGACTCCTCTATGTCTGGACGTAGAAACAACCAACATTTTTAGAGCGACTCCTCTGTGCCAGAAGTTTTATATTCAGCGTTTCATATAATCCATAGGAAACTGTGTGTGAGTGGAAGCAGACCCAGCCTGGAGGGCAGCCAACTTCTTTAACATCTCACCACCCACAGCCTTTGCAGCGAGTTTATAAAGAATCAGGCTGGGGCTGGAGGAACTGGATGAACATTTGCTGAACCCTCGGCCGGTTACTTGGGACACAAAGATTAATTTTGTAGGTTTCCACTCCAATCTGATGCAAAGAAACAGATTTATATGCAACTGACTGTAGGGTATTATTATCTGTGATATGACAGGATGATGCTTTCAACACATACATTAGGCCACGTTGTACCTCCGCTCAAAGTTCTCTCCCGGCTCCTCATCTCACCCCAGTAAAAGACAAGGTCATCACAATGACTGACCGCATCTCCCACCTCGTCACAACTCCTACCACCTGCTCTAACCACTTCGACCTCCTTGCTGTTCCTTCGATATTTCAGGCCACCTCATCCGAGAGACACACGTTTGCTGTCCCTCCAGCATCCGTACAGCTGCCTCCCTCTTCTCCTTCATGTCTTTGTCCAAATGTCACCTTCCCCGCAAGGCCCCATATGCCACACCCCATCCTGTACTTTGGATCCCGCTTATCCTATTCTGCATTCATTTCCTCCTCATAGAAATCATCACCTTCCAACAAACTTTGCAAGAGTTCCCACTGCTGCTGCTAGAATGTAAGTCCCTTGAGGATGGGAATTGTGTCTGTTTTCTTTCCTACTCCATCCCAAGCTGATACTTGAGCTCACGGCACACAGTAGGCACACAATAAACATCGTGAGTGCATTAAGGAATAACCCAGAGGTACACAAGAGGAACTGGAAGAGCAGCTCTGTTTGGACTGTAGCACCTCACAAGAGCCACGTGAAGGCCAAGTTGATTTGGAGGAGGAAGGAAGGGATGTTGGGGTAACTACACGCCCTGTTTAAAGGCTGGGGAGGGATCCTGCCGGGCAGTGGAGCAGAGTGCTGGGGGCAAGGAAATCGACTCATATTACTTCCCAGGAAGGCCTTGGGGTCCCACGGGGAAGGTCTTACACTGTCTCCTCCAGTCCGGCCCCATGCCCTAGAGTCTGAGGAGAATGACTTTCAAGAATATTAGTCGAGAAACACCAGAGAACTAATAATAGTTCATGACAACTTTTGGACCCGTAGTTTTACTCAGACCGATGCGATGGGGCAATGCAGGTTCTGCGTGTATCACCAGGGCCCGGTGTGGAGCCTGGTGGTGACCGCTCAAACATTCTACTGAATAAACTAGACTTCTTAAAAATTGAAATTAGAGTCTTTAAACATTTATGACACTGGTAGAAACTGCATTCCAATGTGATTCGTGGGCGAGATAGAAAATCACTTGCTTTGCTTTAGAATTTCACATTTTATACCAAACAGGAAACATTTTCTGTTCATTGATTATTGACCTTATTAACTTGGTGGCATTTGTCAGTCATAATTTGAACTCTACTAGCCCTTTTTGGTACTTTATGAGTATAGGATATTCTAAAACTTAATCTAGCCTAGGAGGAATGAGCTTCGCTACCATTCAGAATATTGAAAAGAAATGAGTCATGGGACTCTGAGAAATCACTGGAATGGAGTTTTTTCCAAGAAAATCTGAACAAAGGAGATATTATTGGAATGGTGTGTGGCCTCCCTACTTTCAAGGTACAATGACAAATACTGAGTAAAAATACTCATTTGACATTATTTTAAAGACATAAGGGCCTGTGGGGTGCTCAGTAAAATATGCCTTTCATACCACATCAGGCCAAAGGTTAAAAGTGAATCGTGGTTCTGATATCTGCCCATTAGCTAAACTAAATGGGATCAGACAGTCTCCAAGAGCCTCGCTCCTGTTAGTGGATGGGAACGACTTCCTGGTTTGAGTATTCAGACCTTATTCAGCCCACTGGCCAGGTGAGTGAGCACCACGCCAGCAGCCTCTGCCTCCAACTTACCACCTTGACCATGCACATGTGTAGATGACTTCAAATGGTAACGCTGATGACCGCAAATACAGTGTTCTGATATCTGTACAATGTAGTTACACTTTCTGATTAACCTTCAAAGCAGACTTTGAACGTGAAGCCCAGTCTTGTCATTTTAGAGCTTCTACTATTTCACTCTCAGGGCAGTTAGTGGACAGATTGGACCCCAACAAATGGGACTCCAACAAACCGGCAGTAGATACGCCGCCACATTGTTTGTCCACATTTACACACCTCTGCCCAGGTTCTAGCTGTAGACTGATTTAATTAAAATGGTCAATATGTAGACTGAAACCTATGAAGTGCTATCGCTTGGAGGGATTAGATTTGAATTCAGTCAAGATTCTGTTCCCGTTCCTACTGCTGCTGCTTTAAAACAATGGTGTGTGACGACGTCTCTAAACGTGATGAGCTTGAGTCTTCACGTCTTTAAAGTATAGATCACAATCCAGCCCTGTTGTGGGGATTGCGTGAGAGGATGCATGCAAAACAGATTACTTCTGGGTGCTCAATAAATGGCAACTATTCATTTTATAAGAAGCTTTGATTTAACAGCTGGTTATTAATAGCGATGTGTGAACGGGCTTACAAGGTGCTCAAAGGTAAGTTGATAAGTTAATTGACTTTTCATTTTACATGAATATTTCCATTTTCCAGATGCTCAGCTCTGGGCATACTGTGTTTTTTTGTTTGTTTGTTTTGTTTTGTTTTTTAGTTGACTCAGTTTTCAGCTCCAACGACAGGGGTCTTAGATATTTATGAGAAAAAGCCAAGCAAAGGTAATAAGAGTTCAAGAAAAAAATAAAAGAAGGTAGAAGTTTATTGTTATCCACACCGCGTGTCTTAGAAGTTCCAGGAAATTGGTGAAAGCTAAACTCATAGCTTTCATAGGTTAATCTGAGTGTAAAATGTGCCTTATTACTGAGGGTGGCCTCTTAGACCTGGAAGTATGGCTGGATATGGGGTAAAAATAAAGGGCTGCAGCCTACTTGTTTGCTTCCATAGAATTTATATATATAGAGTCTGTACATATAACCCAGAGAAAAAAATCATATGGTTTCTTTCCATTTCATCTTTCAATAAAATAAAATTACATTTTAAAAATTCTAATAGTTTCTATGCTAATAACATCTCTTAATATTTCAAACAGCATATGTTTATATGTAATAAAATATAATGACTGTTTTTTGTATATGATAAATAAACATATATTTGTATATATAAAGTAATTTTTCTAGTAGATGAAAACGCATATTTACACATTTTCTCATGTACCCTGTCAAATTTCTGGAAGGGGGTAGCACAGGCCAGTACTTTTAAAAAGCAATGATTTGGGAGCTGAGAAATGTCCTGTGCCAGAGCTGGCCGCTGTGTCCCTCCCATGAACCTCGACTCGATGGCGTCAAGTTCCTCCCTCCCCTCTCTAGCACCGCAGACGGCCGTTTCTCCACCCGAATGGAGGCACCGCCTGAGCTCTGGCCGTGCACCGAGCCACCGCGGGGGCCAGGCCCTTCTTCTCAGTGGAACCTTGTATTTATCACACCCTTTTACCCTACAGCTTGGCGTCACAAGGTACAAGTTACAAAGCCACCGATGGACGAGGGTGTTGCTTGAAGAAAGCGGTCATATTTTCAATATATTGCTGGGACAATAATTTAATAACTGAAATGCACTGAGACTTCTCGGCTTTTGCTTCATTTATATCCACATCACCTAGAGTAGGTACCTCATGGTGACTACACTATGCCATTCTAACACAGTCTTCCCTCCTGTCTGTCTGTAGATATCTCTTCGGAGCCATGTGGATGGCTAGGGGCTGCTGATTAAGATGAAAATGGCCATACCCTCAAGTAGCTTTTAGTTTAGTTGGAAAGACACATGGATGAATATTAACAATTAATTGGTGACGAGGATGGGTTTGCTTGTTATAGGAGCTGGTGGTGGGTAGCGTGGCAGGGGTTTTACCCAATAAAGGCAGAAAGGACAAAAGGAAACACATTAGCTGAAGGGGTTGCATTTGGGGCTGTAGGATCTTCATTCCAGGAGCTTTTAAAAGCACAGAGATTAAAAGGGACCGATACCACTGAAAACAAGGTTAAAATAGCTTAAAAAAGATAGCCCTCTGATAAAGTAATTCTGGAAGGTTGACTGAATATAGCTTGAACCATAAAATTATCAAAACCAAAATACTGTCTGTCTGTCTGTCTACCTTTTTACATACCTTGATATCACAACATTTACATATTTTGTGGAAGAAAAATTCAGATTAGTGGCCACTTCTAATGTCTATTAACCTGTAGCTGGTTTGAATGGCAGCTGATTAATCTGGGCAGTGAAATGATAAGAACTAGTGTATACCTTAAAGAAACTACTAAGGGCACATTTCAAAATCAACCTCGATGAGGTGTAACTATTCCTAAACTAATCCCAATTACCTTCAAATAGTTCTACATACTTGATTATGCATTTACATTATATTCCTTTGTATGATTAATCCCAAAGAATAATTTCATGCTTTTTTTAGGAGGAAAAAATTGTTCCAGGTGCATGCACAAAATCAGAACGCATGCCATATTTACACCTCATATAGACACAGAAATACTGACAATACACAGTCACACAGATAAATATGTACAATATAAATACAGCATGAGCAACACACAGATATCCCTAAAGAAAACCTGTTTACGATTCAGTGTTACTCTATAACAGTATTTTATTATTCATTCCCTTCACTCACACCACCCAAGGCGTCATTCCTAAGTTGTGGGACATGCCCCAGAAAGGCGGGAGGGCTCACTACGCCACCTCACAGCCCTGCTCCCCGCCTGTTCCTCTGGAGCCCGTGGACCAAGACAGCTGGGGGCCCCATTCCCACACATACCTGGCTGAAACTCTGGCTGGCACCTCGGGCTTGTGTGCTGCGGGCGGGGAGCTGCGATGGGGCTGTCTCACTCAGGGCCAGGGTCTGGTTGCTATGGTAGCTCGCCGGATACTGGAAGGACCCTTCAGGTTTGGAATTGAGCTGAAGTGCACTCTGGGAGAGCAGACTGGGCCCTGCATTGAAAGTCATTTAGAGCGGTAAGTGACAGCCTCAGCGAAGCAGAAATGACATGTATTATTTATCGAGAGTGGCCTAGAATTATCACATGCACATGATTCCAGCCATCTATGCTTTGAATTCTGTGAACTAAAATGACCATATAATTTGACTCTAGCTCTTAAATGAGATTTTTTTTTTTTGAGGTTTAGAAGTTCTCAAAAGAGTAGATTTTTCAAATGATCTCACCCTGACCTACATAGAGACATTTCTTATGAGACAAATTAGTTAATCACGTAGTTATTTTTGGCTCAGACAATATCGGAAACATTTGAAATAATTTAAAAGTCTACCTTTTGCTGCATGGTAATTGCGTTCATATAATTGTATCTCCTACTTAATTATTAGGATGCTAAAACACTTGAAACCTTCCAGTCAGTGACATATTCTACTGTAGAAACAGTGATGTAATATCTCAATGCCTGAAGGGCTGACAGTATTTAAAATATTAATAGCTCTTCCTACAATGTAGCATTCACCGTGATCTCACACGATCTCTGATGGCCAGTGACCTCTGCCTCCACGGGGGTTCACAGGAGAACAAAGAGCGAGGGCACCGTGTTAAAATCGGTGCCACCGCCCGGGCTGATAGCACAGGTGACTCGGAAGCGAGACCAGGTTCCTGGCCTTATCGTTTAATTATACGCTGCAAAAGACATTGCTTTATTTTTCTCATATTCCATGCGGATGGGGCCCTTGGAAGAGTTTCTCGTTTTCCTTTTAAGGAAACTGTCTTTAATCACATTTCATACGCACTTTGGAAATGAGGAGCGGCGGGGAAGCGTGTAAATGCATTCGCCATTTTCCATCGTGTGTGCTGAGAAGGGACGGGGGGTACGTGGGGTGAGTTGTGGGGAGTAAGACGGGGCAACGCAGGTCTCTCTTGTTATCTTAACCACAGCACAGAATTAGTTCTTTGCTGATGGAAGGTCAGGATATACACAGAGACGATGACATAATCATTATCCCATCCCCAAGCTCCCTCGGCTGTTTTAAACAATAGTATCATTTCTAATAACTGCAATGAAATCTCAAGCTCCTTACTTCTTTCCTTTTAAGAACAGAACATGGCTTTATATTTCAAAGGAGACTTGCAGAGTTAATGTGACATAAGCCTTATTTTACATAAAAATAACAGGTCTTCTTTTAAAAAGCATCGGTGGTTTCACATGTTTTTTGCCACTCAAGACTTCCCCCTCCCCTCTGACGCCTGATGGAACTTCTAAACAATGAGAAAATACTTTTTCATCGTTGGATATTGAATAATAAGCCAATTAACTAATAAGGATAAGACTTGGTATTTTGGAATCTCTGCAGATTCTGGAAAAAAAGTCAAGCAAGGAAATAAAAACAGTTCTGTTTTCACCCAGCCTCGATTTCATCGCCAAGGACATAACAAAAGTACAGCTGTAATCTTTTTTCTTTTCATTTAGAAAATAGGGTCCCAAACAGTATATATCAGCTGGTGACGTTTGCAATGGCCTGCAAAACATCATTTAATCCATATTGATGGTATTACAGGTCTAATCACCACATATACGTCGTCTCTATGGGGAATGCATATTCCGCGTGTTTCGTTCTGGATGTCGGCGACGTGCTGTCCCACCGCTGCTTTGTAAACTGCCAGGTACAGAGACAGAGTGAAGGTGGGGGGGGTCCCTGAGGCCCAGGGGATGGGCAGGCTGAGACGTGGGAGAGCCTCTGGAAGGGAAGGGGGCGCTGCTGACGAGGGCAGGGGCACATGGAGACTAATTGCAAGGAGGAGGAGAAAGAGGTAGGTACGGGGAGAACAGTGACCAATTATGGCCGAGGGTTTTCCCGTTGGACCCGCCCTCCTAAGGTCTCTACCGACGTATCACCTAGCAAGGACAATACCGCAGGACAACAGCCAAAAGACTGCATGCATTTTAGCATGATTTTTCCATTGCTTGCTAGGTTTCAAATCGACAGCATTTATATTCATTCCAGTCTTAGAAAGATACATGAGAAGATGAAAAAGGTTAAAGTTATAGAACCATTCTTAATTACTCATATTAGGAGTAAAATGTATATATCACTAACACTTGATTAGCTTTACAAACGTTACTGCGTGTTGAGGTAGAAGATACTAATTTCCAGAGATTTCAAAAGCATTTATAGTTTTGGGCTTTAACTCATGATTTTTTCTTTTTTTCCCAAAATGTATGACTTTCCATCAAGTCTTGCTTGGGCTGGTGGTAAAATTAGGCCGCGGTCCTGAGGATGTGAAGTGTATCTGCTGGGTAATGGGGGCCACAGGATTTCTGGGGTGACAGGGAGGAGAGGAAGGGTCTGAGACGTGAAATTCCCACTGCTCCAGAAGCAGTTCAGCCACGTGGAACAGTAGATGATAATGTCCTCTTAGGTCACAGAAAGCAGAAGACACACTTCGGTACGTATTCTTCCAATACATTGACCAAAGAAAGGGTCACAGGGATTTCTTTGATCATTTTGAAACTTCCCTGTCATAGGACAAGCTGAGCTCAGGTATCTACTCAAAGTGACTCAGCCCTGGAGGCCAGGAAGAGGAGGTGAACCCATTTTCTGATAAATTGACAAAACTCAAGAGAGCATATATTGTCAATCTGATCAAGACACAGTAGTCCCAATCGGACAGGGGGCAGAAATTCCAAGAGAACTACAGAACCGAGGGACATAGATCCTAGAAAGACACTTGGAACAAAGCCTCTTGAATGCGATACCAATATCTCAATATGTTTTCCAATATATGAATTGACTAGAGGTGACATAGGAAAAAAGCGCCCTTGTGCCTTCTTCCCTATTCTTAGATGCATAAACAGAAGCATGGAGAGGTTAAGAGGTCATCCAAGTGTCGTGTCCTTGGTGGAATAAAGATGAGACTTAGATCCTCATCCTCCATCTCCAAGTCCAGGAGTGGATGTCTTTTAATATCAAAGCACCTGCTAGGTCATATACACAAATCAACGTTTATAGTTGAAAAATTCTTCCCTAAATGGAAGTCAATTTGCCTGCAGGAGAAATCTTCACGTGTCAGACTGTGGCACCTCCCCAACAACCGCTGCTGAGAGACCCCCGGTGTTGGCTAGGGGAAGCCTGCCATCCATCGCCAGTGGGACAGAGATCAACCCTAGCAGATGGAAAGGCTGCCATGTTAATTTTCTGTGCGAAAATTCAGACTCACTTGTGGGCCGTATTAACACATTCACTACAACATCTAGACAGTTTCTTCTTAAATGAACCAGGCATTTTAGAGTTTTCAGGATCATGTACACTCACTTTGTTTGCACAGGTTTAAAGAGACTTCATCTAGAATTGCTGATTCTTGCCTACTTCAGCTGAACGCCAGTCTCAGTAATGAAGTAAACCTTCATTAAAATTACATACTTTGCAACAGAAAAGGCCAGTGGCTGTTTCATTATTTTGTTTATTTTGTTCTTTAGATTTTAAGTAAGATAATATGGCTTTTTGTCTTTCTCTGTAAAGTACAGCGCAGGGCATATAGTCGCTAATATTATAATAACTATGTATCGTGCCAGGTAGGTACTAGACTAATTGGGGGATCACTTTATAAATTATATAAATTTCTAACCACTATGCTGTACACCTGAAACTAATATAAAATAATATTGAATGTCAACGGCAATTAAAAAAAAAAAAAAAGTCAATGGCCGACCATGTAGCATCCATAAGTCATTAGGTCACAATCGTGCACATGGACTGGGTAGGTGTGTGCTGGAAAAAAATCCAGGGCTCCGATTCAGCAGTCCTGGGCCCTAGTCCACCTTTGGTTGATGAAAGCACTAGCCACGACGATGACGATGAACAGCAGCCTACCTCTCCTGGGCACTGACTAAGTTCTAGGGATCGCCCGGGGCACTTTCCATCTATGATCTCATTACATCTTCACAAGACTCCGGTGAGGAAGGGACTATCGTCCCCGTTTGTGTCGACAGAACTGAAGGTCCCACTACCCGAGACCACACAGTCGGTGGTGGGCCTGGGTGCTCGCTCGCAAGGCGGTCTGGCTTCAGCGCGCATGTTCTCAACCACACTTCATTATTCTGTCTATAAATTTTAATCTCTGCAAATTTGAGCACCTAATGAGATAATGGATGTGCAAGTGCTTGGAAAAATATAAACTGGTGTACAAATGTCAGTTATTAGTATTATTATCTAATTATCTAATTACAGAGCCACATGGTCTGATAATAATAATAAAACCTTGATTGGAATGTGTTTGTCTTGAAAACCTTATTACAGTACTGCCCCATATATCACTTAGCATTTTCTTCCAACACCCGTGAGCTCCCATTTTGCAAATGAGACATCCAAGGCATAGATTACCACAGTGGCCTGCTTTAAATCCAAAACAAAACCAAACAAAACTGAGTGTTAGGGTGAAGAGATAAGAACGAAAAAAGTTATTTTTCTCTGTTCTCTTAGCCTGAAATTCCTTTCTCTGTCAACCTCAAAACTCTTTCTTAAACGTATAAAGTGTTGTTTAAATGTCACCTCCTCCATGCAGCCTTCCTTGGTGCCTGATTGCCCAGGGAAAATTAACCCTCCCCCCGCCATGCCCCCTAACCCTCCAAACAGACCAGACTCTGAAGAATTTTAAGTGTTTAACAGAGGGACTGTGCAGTATTACACATCTAGAAGGAGGGGGCAGGCTAAGAGCAGAGATTCTGAACACTGTGGTGAAGGCAGCAAGACGGTGTGTTGAGATACTGGAGAGAGTAGAATCCTGCTTTTCCACAGTGTAGACAGGAAACCTGCAATAACTGAAGAGACTTTAACTGGGATGGTGGCTGACCTGGGAAGGGAAAGAAAGGCGCCCATTTAAGAGCCATTTTGAAAGAAAAGCTCCTGGGGACTTAGTGACGAAGTAGACAGGAAGGGCAGGAAAGCCAAAAATGGCTGGACACCCTTTACCTGATCGCTGGGGGGATAATCCCGC